GAAGAATGTCATTTTGTAAGTGAAATTAGACATTATTAAATGGCATGAGCATGATGAAGGTAAAACAATTGAAGAACTGCTATGAATGGGAGAGTATACATAAGGCTCTCAATTGTACAGTACTGTATTTTATATTATATTTCATATACTGTACGGTATATTAGTATGAACCTCATATTTCATGTTATTTTTATTGATTACCGTATAAGTGTTTATGTGCAAAAAAGCAGCCCAAGCCAGGAATCAATCAATCGTCCTCATATCTGTGGGTTGGTGACCACAGTCCTCCACTCTAAATGTTTTTCCGCTGATTTTACCAGTCCTCCAAAATTTTGTATGCTGTATATCTCTAGAGACCCAGTTGTTAATTTCTTTCATCCATCCCAGTCCCTGCCTTCCCTCAACTTTACCCAATAAATTTTTTGAGTTATCCCCTCATTCCTAATTATATGATCAAAGTACAGTATCTCATTCCAGGAATGCATCCCTCTTAATTTGTTGTATCTTATGGAAAATTATTTTCCTTATTCTAATTTTATACATCACATGGACTACCTATACTTAAGAGCCCATTGTCTTAGAAGCTTCTATAATGCCAAATGTATGTTTTAATAAAAAATTATTTTCTCTCACAAAGATAAATACAGTATAAAGCTGATTTGATTTGATCATGAATATTTAAGACAAAATTGAGTACAGTAAAGATATAATAATCCTTTACAGCATAACAGAAGTGTAGAACAATTGTTGATGTATATGAAGTAGATTGATGGTCATTGTATGATGAATAATAAGATGGAACTATGCAGACATGATATGAAAGCTACACCTTTATCCAAACCCCACATGGACGTATTTTTGACTGTGGCATTTAATCATACAAGGCACCCAAGACTACTGAGGATAAGGATATCGGCTAAGGTTGAGCAGAAATGGATTAAATATCTGTACTCTCTGACCCTGACTACCACGGTTTCCTACAGGTGTTGCTGGACAGTGGCGTCGAGATGCTTGGTGGGGGAGGAGCCTTGGCAAGTGGGAACAGTATGGCAAGTGTCAAGGGATATCACTGTCATCACTGTTCTTACGTCACCGGCAGGAGATATGACCTCAAAAGGCATATGCGCACTCACACAGGAGAGAAACCTTGGATTTGTCCACACTGCAATCATCAATTTGCTCTGAAACACAATCTAAAGAGTCACCTTCGAACCCATAAATGGTAGAATAAACTGCATAGATAATGGAAACTCCAGGCTCAGGAATATATCATGGACATAATAATAATAATAATATATAACCAACCCTCAGTTTCATTCTCCCTGTATTTTTTTCTTTTGTTATGATTGTAATTTAATGGAAGCTGAATAAATCAGACGGGAAATCCTTATAATTTACACTGCAATATAATGATAGAAATTAATTATATTTTGAATACAAATTGGTAAAGGTACTGTAATAGTTTATAGGCTACAGTATTTGATTCCTTTACCTTTAAAAATAACTTGATTTCCTTGGATAAGAATTAATGCTGGTTACTAAAGCTACTTTTATCCTAATTTATTACAGCCACAAAAACTAGAAAGTGTTTTAATCAAAGACATAACTATACAACTGAACACAAGGGAAAAGCAGAAAGGTGTGAGGATTGGAATATTTTATTGCCTAGGAACATAAGGCAATATAGAGCCTCCACTCTGACAATATCCCATACTGTACTTATGAGTAAATATCACAGGATGCAAATTGAATATGGTATTTCAGAGTCATCATACTGTTACATGGACCATTGTGGACCTGGTCTCACCCTCCTCTGTATATATACACCTTGATTTGTATTACTCTCTCTAGTCTGTACTCACCCCTGAAGATGTGAATTACACGAAAGCGCTTGGGAACTTCGTGTTTTCTTCTTTCCTTAGGGAAATATCAGTATATATATATATATATATATATATATATATATATATATATATATATATATATATATATATATATATATATATATATATATATATATATATATATATATATATGCAATAAAATCACTGTAGGTAAGGCTATGGGTCTAGGTATATAAAGTTGATAACCATATGAAAAGAAAAACACTTCCTGTTTTGTCCTTAGATTATCAGTATATATATATATATATATATATATATATATATATATATATATATATATATATATATATATATATATATATATATATATATATATATATATAATTATATATATATATATATATATATATATATATATATATATATATATATATATATATATATATATATACAGATTGACAACTTTGTCCAAAACTTTAAATATAAAAGTATTTCGGTTTTCAGAATGTTTTTTTTTTATGTGTATTAGCCCACCCAGGCATAGATCACTGACCCATATTGGGACCTGGGGGGCGAAAATATTATTACTCTGTATAATAATAATAATAATAATAATAATAATAATAATAATAATAATAATAATTATTCATAGGTCTAGGTCATGTTTCTCACTTGATCTTTTTTTCATTCTTGTATTTCTTTATTATTATTATTATTATTATTATTTTATTATTACAGTATTATTATTGTTATTTTATTATTTTATTATATTATTATATTAATTTTATTATTTTATTTTGGTGTATTTTTATTAAAAATTTTATTTACTATGAATAATTATTATTATTATAATTATTATTACTATTTACATTTTCGCCCCCCAGGCCCCGATGTGGGTCAGTGATCTATGCCTGGGTGGGCTAATCCCTGTTTTAAACTGAATTAAAAAAATACAAATTTATATTTTTTTTATAATTTCGGATAAATTTAAATATATATATATATATATATATATATATATATATATATATATATATATATATATATATATATATATATATATATATATATATATATATATATATATATATATATATATATATATATATATATGGATCCGCCCCTAATTTAATGATCAAAATACAGTATCTCATTTTTCTTTTTATGTACTTTTTTAAAGAATTTGCTGTAATAATAATGATAATAATATTTTTTCAGTAAGGTCATACAGGTTTACAATCGGATAAGCATGTTTGAAGTTATACAGTTCAGCATGAATACTGTAGTAGAATTCTCCCCTACAAACGCTGTTTGTCGCTGCCTTGCCGACCTCACCAATTCCCCAGTGTATGCCTCGTGGTCTAGGTCAACCAGGCCGCCATACACCACGGAGCGGGGGTCAACTGCTAAGCCACGCCTACCCCCGCTATTTAAGACCTGACCTCGTGGTGATCTCTCTCTCTACCTACAGCCACAGCCAGCAACACCTCCTCCTCTGCCGCTGCCTGGCGGCCCTCCCTCCTCCGCCTGCCTGGCGGTCCTCTCTCCCGCTGGCGAGCATGGCGACCCACAAGCTGTCCTTCTCTGAGCATCCTCACCAACCAGCTCTCTCTACATCACGCTTGTAACCATGCTGCCTTCCCAGCACCAAGCTGCATTGTACATCCAATACAACATGTATATAGAGAGCACATTGTGAGTTTCCTTTCTCCATCCCATCCTGAGTGTGAACCAAACAATCTCATACCCCACAAATGGTGACTCCCGGAGATTCGCACTCACACAGGATGGAGGAGAAACTGATCACGCTCCCAGTCTTCAAGCAACATGGAAGACTGGCTTATCCACCCAGAAGCAGCTCTCATCGGCTCTACAGCTACTGTCTCTACACCGCAGGTTAGACACCCTAGAGCAGCTCTGCTACTCTAAGCAGACACCAGCTCCTCTTCCTGCCCTAAGCACCACGTCCTACCGACCCCAACACACCCGTCCTGCCTCAGACGCCGACCCCGGCCCAGCAGTAACCCCTGCCGCCCTTGATGCGGCCTCTGTTCCTGAGTGCGGACACACACACCCCTCTTTTCTCCCCCAGGTACTCCCTGCTAATGTCCTGCACCCTGCTGCTGTCGTGGACCCAGCTGCTGTCACGAGCCCTCATCCGCTGCTGCTGACACAGCCCCTGTTCCTGAACCAGGCCCACACACCCCAGCAGGCGCATCTGGCGACTCTGTACCTGCCGTGAGGGAAGCACAAAATTCATCGCCTCCACACACCCTTATTCTCCCTCTCTACTCCCACAGATATTGTGTATCTAGACAGTTGTCCCCAGCGACCGGCTCATCCACGCCATCGCCGTTGTCTCACATGAGGCACGCACCGCCCGTTCTGCCTCACATGTGCTATGCAACTCTGCAGACAACAAGTCTCCTACACAGCCTGGAGGGAAGGGGGAGTATTGTAGTGGAATTCTCCCCTACAAACGCTGTTTGTCGCTGCCTAGCCGACCCCACCAATTCCCCAGTGTATGCCTCGTGGTCTGGGTCAACCAGCGCCGCCATACATCACGGAGCGGGGGTCAACTGCTAAGCCACGCCTAACCCCGCTATTTAAGACCTGACCTCGTGGTGATCCCTCTCTTTCCACCTACACCAACCAGCCAGCAACACCTCCGCCTGCCTGGCGGCCTTCCCTCGCTCCTCCGCCTGCCTGGCGGCCTTCCCTCGCTCCTCCGCCTGCCTGGCGGTCCTCTCTCCCGCTGGCGAGCATGGCGACCCACAAGCTGTCCTTCTCTGAGCGTCCTCACCAACCGGCTCTCTCTACATCACGCTTGTAACCATGCTGCCTTCCCAGCACCAAGCTGCATTGTACATCCAATACAACATGTATATAGAGAGCACATTGTGAGTTTCCTTTCTCCATCCCATCCTGAGTGTGAACCAAACAATCTCATACCCCACAATACAATGTGCATCATTGCATGAGTACCTGTAATCTTGTATATACAGTTTCCTACAAAGCTGTCGGGTGCTGATTTCTCCTGAAATGTTGTAGCCTTTTACATCCATAAAGCTGTAAGAAAAATAGGGTTTTATTACATTGAAATATGAAGTTTTATTTCCTACGTAAGGCATTTGCTACTGTGTGGAGGAGAGGGAAGGACTTGAGCGCAAAACGATAGTGTTCTGTCTGTTGTACTGTTCCCGCTGCCCGCGTAATTCACAGCTGACTCGTCTCCTGTGTATGATTCCTGTGACTCTGTGAGTTGGAGTTGTGAGAAAACCAAACTTGTTGTCGAGTGGGTTGACTTTGTAAATTCTTAAGGATGGGTGTTGAAGATGACGCCAAAAATCAAAATTTGCCCTGGTAAGTAAAGAAGTCGTCGCTTCAAACCTGACAGTAGCAAATCATTGTAAGATAATATTTAACGTGGCGGATATTTTACTGTGACCTGCTAAGTTCCAACTAACTTTATTTTACCGTGAGTGCGCTTTGATTGGCTAAGTACTTTCTGTTTAATATGACGGGGTCCGCTCCCCTGCTAGGAAGTTAGGTAACTAAAGGGAGGTTTCTTCGGTTGGTAAGGTCAGGTTCTATAAGTAAATGTCGTCTCTTATAATGATGAGTTTCCGTGCACAACAGAAATATGGATGTTTACACCCACAAAACGATCGACTTAGGGCTAAATAAACGCTAAATACCGCTAGTCACAGTCAAATATACTGTAGTTCTCACGTTGTTGTTGGCCAGTAATGGACGATTAACCAGAGTGCACTCACGGTAAAATGGTGTTAGTAGGAACTTAAAACCAGTCACAACGGCAAAATATCCTCTGCTTATATTTAAAGTGTCATAGAACTGTTAGATCTAACGATGTCTTTGTTGGGTATTATTTTAGTTTGTTATTTGCATTAGTGCACACAACTGTTAGAATGTCAAAACTGTTTTTCTAGTTAATTTTTGTGTGTTGTTTGGTTTTGACCTTGGTTTCCGTCGGAAATTGCTTGTTTTTTTAGTTATCGGTGGTTTTGGGTGGGGCGTTTTCCGACAAAAATCATGGCCAAGGCAATACAAAATACACCAAAAAACGCTAGAAAAACGTATAAACCGAACCTAACCTAACACCATATGATGGCATCACTTATTCACTGGATCACGCCAACTATGTTGGTCTTGATATTTACACTCGTTCTTAAACTTAAGACACTTTACTGAGGTCAGGAGAACACTATGAGATCTAAAAAATGCTACATCTTGTTCGTTTTTTTTTCCAAAACGTGCAATCAGCTCCCTATAATTGAAGTGACACCCATTGCAGACTTCCATGGTCAGAAATGAATTTGAATTTCGAAATATGAGACCCAAAATCACAATTGAATCTGATTAGGCAAAAAATACCGCAAATTAAACCACAATTCATTTTAATTGGTGGTAAAAAAAAAAACAACGCTTTTGATTGGCTGCGTGACGTGTACAGGAATGCATGCTCATGACGATTCATGAAGGGAACACCCTGAGTGGGAGGTCGGGTAGGCGATAATGGCTGAAGATTAATGGAATTAAATAGAGAAACATTTGGCATGTGCTATCTCTCTTATTATACGTTTCCGACGGTAATGTAATAGATGAAAATTGTCTTAAAATTAGACGTCTTTTTCGAATATGGTAATAGATTTGGGGTAGGAAAGTTGTGTGCATTAATGCAAAAATACCAGAATTAGGTTAGGTTATTTATCTAAACTATGTTTTTCCGATGGTTTTTGATAGTGTTTTGAATGATTTGGGGTAAAATTATCATTTCGGTCATCCACCTATTTGGAAGTAGGTCAGAATCGCTCAAAACACATAAAAAACCACCGGACAAACATAATTTCAACCTAACCTAATCAGTATTATTATCGGGTTAATATTCGTCCATTGGCTGTCCGCAGGTTCCCACCATGTTTACCTGAGGTTATACTCCTCACTTAAAGTCATTTGTTTTATCCTTTCCTCCTCCTCCTTATAAGTTAGGTTAAGTAGTTTGGTTCTTTTGGTATGAGAATAGTTTTCTTTTGTTTTGTTTTTGGTGTGTTTTACTCACATCTGAACTCTATTTTTGTGCAATTTATGTTTGTTTAAAATGAAAATGTTCATCTTTGGCAAACACCGCTAATTTCCACAAGAAATGAAGGTCAGGTTTGAGTAAGACACACTGAAAACAAAACAAAAAACTATTCTCATCCCAAAACCCGAGAAAAGCCAATGGACGAATATTTATCTATTATCGTTTCGGTTATCCAGCAATTTTTATAATTTTAAGTTTTAGAATCGGTAGTTTAGAGTGACTTTAGACAAGTCTGAGACACTTTTCTTCTATAGCATCTCTTCTGCTCGTGATTACTTTTAGAGAAAATCGCAATAAATTGTTTGAAAATTGTTGTATATTTTCTAAGTCCTGTTGATGTTACCGTCGTCAGAGAGAGAGAGAGATCCCGTGTGTTCATTTGTTGGTTACTATCCTGCATAACACATGCGCTAGTGACTGACACGTGCAGATCTTTGGACGTTGATTGGTGGGTATGATTTTGGATTGACCAATCACAGCTCGGTATAGGCCCCCCTCCTTCGGGCAGAAAAAGAGCAGCCAGGCAGTGAGACCTGTGGATTACTAGGATGACCTCACGACCCAACTCCATGTCTTCTGACTCCAATTAAGGTAAGGCTTAGGATTAGGTTGGGTTAACTTTGGGATTATTCTGACCTTCATTTTTATAGCAAATTACTACTTTTTTTATTTTCCCGTACCCAACCCCCCCCCCTTTTTGCAATTTTCTCGGAAAGTAATCAAGAGCGGAAGAAATGTGTCTTAGAATTGTCTAAACTACCGATTCCAAAATTTAAAATCCTAAAAATTGCTGGATGACCATAATGATAATTTAATATCCTAAATTTAATATCCTAAAATTCGCCAGGTGGCCAAAACGATAATGATACCCGATTTGGACCTTCATATCTGCTGGATATCACATAGTTTGCATATCTAAATGGCAGTGGATATTTTGTCGTGACTGACTAAGTTTCTACTAACTCTATTTTACCGTGGACAACGTGGTTGTCCAACATACTAACTCTATTTTACCGTGGACAACGTGGTTGTCCAACATACGTAACTCGTAAACAAGTAAGTTATTTTACCGTTAAATTCTGAAATATGACTACCCACAATCTCACATATAATTCACTATACAGGTTGACCATCTCAAATCGGGACTGACTGGGACCTGAACAGTGCCGGATTAGTGATTTTGCCGAACCACAGGTGGTTTGGTTAGGATTAAATAAATAAACACCTCTAACCCACTTCATAACCACCTCACCCTACCTCTAAAATACCTTGTAAATAGTACAAGTTGGATAATAAAAAAAAAGAAACAACAAATGAAAAGCAAGTGAAATTTGTTGAAGTACTACAGGCAAAATACCTTACAGGCTATCTGTATATACTTACATCAGAAGGTTGGTTATTGACACTTCCAAAGTAAAGTGTTGGATTGTACAACTAAGCAGAGTTACATGTCTGAAAGTGGGGGGTCATCAGGTCTGTCTTGTGTTTCATCTAAAAAGATGATAGAATCTTGGCTATCTGGTGTTGGTGATGAAGTTGGCATATCTTCAAGAACTGGTGATGGTGGTGCCAGCACATCTGGGTGAACAGAAGTTGATGGCACTGGATTTTGAAGTGTTGGCTCCTGTCTTGCAGATTTCTCTGCTATTTTTCTGAACATATCCTGCAAGCTAACCTGTTTCATGTATTTTGGTCTTTCTTTGATTAGTTTTTCTTGCAACATGTAAACATTCATTATTTCCTGTTCAGTAATAAAACTGCATTGTTCGAGACCTTTAATCAATTCTCCTGTCAGCTCAACTAACTTATCAATGGACATTCTTTCCGCTACCTCTTCCTTGTTTTCATAATTACTGGAGCAGCTTTCCTTTCTGTTTTTTTTTTTATGTCATACACTGTGGAAGCGCCAGTGTTATACAAGTCGCATATGCTGCGAACAGACACACCACTAGTTTTTTGAGAAGTTCAACCTTATCTTGTATGGACAACGTAGGGTGTTTGCGCTTTTCACCACAAGAAGCACTTCCTTTATTCATTGAAGACGTGACTGGGGCTAAATAAGAGCAGTTTATAATAATAAATGAAAAAACCACAAAGGAATAAGTTGCCGCTGTATTGTACACATGCACACACAAAACACATACAAATAAATAATACAGTGGTCCCTCAGTTAATGAACGGTTCGGTTAACGAATTACCTATTATAAGAATCTTCAATTCGGTTAACGAAAAAAAATTTGATAAATGAAATCCTTACAAAAATCACGTTTTGTTGTGAGCATCAGCTGATGGACTAGTCTGCCAATTCAGTAATCTGTTCTATGTTTACATTCATTTCCAATGGAGTAAATATCAATAAAGTTGTGCTATTTAATATTTTTGCATGTTTTATATTAAAATTATTAGTCATTTTAACATATATTTAACATATTGATAATATATGCAGTACAAGGCATCAGTTGGGCTTTGAAAACAGTGGAGAGAGCATTTATTTTGTTGGTGTCTTGAATATTTTTGCATTTTTCATTGAAATTATTGGTCATTCTGAACTTTAGTTAACATATTGATAATATATAGTGCAGTGCAGTGTTGATTTAAGGAAAATAATCTTGAATTACACCTAGTGAACTTAAAATTTTATTGGTGAAATGACTGCATCAAGCATGGGTCCACTGAAAGGTGATTTCCCCTCCATCCCCACTTCCTTCTCTTCTCCATTCTCCTCCACCCCCACTTCTAATCCCCATTATCATCATCAACCAGGAACCTTCAACATACACACCTCAAATAAATGTACTTTACTGCATTTTTTTTTACTTTGTACTTTTCGGTAAGCTGGAACCAATTACCCAATATCCCATTGAAACAATGGATTCGGTTAACGAAATTTTTGGTTAACGAAATACCTTCTGGAACGAATTGTGTTCATTAACCGAGGGATCACTGTATTACATTATATTTATAAGGAACTTTGACAAGTTTTTTGATCCCAGTTACTCTATAATTTTTACAAGTGGAAGGTTACTGTCATGATTGCTGACCACTGTATATTGTATATTGTAAAAAAGAGTGACACTTTGTCATCTGAAGTGACACCTTATAAATATGCTGTTAAGATATTTGCTATTTTGATAAAGATATGCTGCACATTCAGAAATAGGGTGCAACAAAGCTGCTAGTTCCATCTTAAACAAGCAGGTCTGACTGTGTACAGTACAGTACTCATTGTAATGCTGAGTGCTTAAGGGTTTAGTACAGTACAGACATACTGTACTGTACGTGTAGAATTGTTTCATTGTGTTGTTTTTTTTACAGGGTGGAAAAGTATCGACCTCAGACCCTTCAAGATTTGATCTCACATGAGGACATCATCTCCACAAGTAAGTACAGTCACAGTCATAAGTCATTATTATTGTTATTATTATTAGTACCGGGTAGTGTGCTGTATCCACAATGTTCCATGTGGGCAGTCATGCCTATGGGACCCACTTTAAAAGTACAGTAAACCCTCTAAGATGCAGACTAAAGGGGGGTGATCACCAGTCTGTAAAAGTTGATTGTCTGTATCTTCTGGTGAATGTACTAAATGTATAAAAACGATAAATAGTGATATAAAAAACACCAAAAATGCAGTACCATATTTTTCGGCATATATGACACTTCCCTTAATTTAGCAGGAAGTATTTAGGAAAAAACTTTTGTGTGTATTTTCATCCTGTAGCCATAATTTTCTTAAAATAATATATACAGTACCAGATAGTACCAGAAAATGTGAGGAATAAATAAATATAATACCAATAAATAAGTTACAACAAAGAATACTGTATTGCCAAACCAGTAAATAAAAGCCAATTGAAAGTTTAACACGGTCGCCATTTGCATACACTCCCTGCTTCCTCATAACAACGGAGACAAGCTGACTATTGCTGATTCCCTAGCAACACCCCACCCCCTACACTCTGCACCATCCTCCCACTTCGCCAATGAACCAGCTAACTCATGTGCAAAAAATTTATATTTCCATTGTGTTTTTGCCCTTAGGACAATTATTTCTCTTAATTTTTTCACAATATATATGTAGGATGGTGTGTGCATGTAATTGAGTAAAAATAAATGAAGAAAGTTACATATACTGTATCTTTACCGAAATACGAGTTGAAAAAAACGTAGCACCTCACAGCTTGGCCTAATAACCTGGTGATTACAGTGACAAGTCTAACTTGGCTACAATGCCAAGATTAATTATTGTTCAGCACTATTATATCAGTAAATACTAATGATAACAGGAAATCCTGTGAAATATGGCAGGGAGCAAGGAGAGTTACAACTGTAGACGCGCACTAGCGTTCATTCGCTCCCATTGCCAGGCTTACTATCAAAATACGTATGGGAGAATTACATATCTTGTATAGTCTAATTTGATAACGGTGATGGGCACAGTGATAAACAAATTATACAAACCATAAATTTACCTATGATAGCTTAATAAGAAACATTGTATCATTACTGGAGTGATTGAAATAATATTACCACAAACAACAATAGATAACTCTTGGGCACCTGTGTACCGCACGCTCACAACTTAGTTATACCGGCCTAAGATGATCTTTGCTCTATTTTGGAGTTGCTTCTTAGTTCTTGGAACCCCCAAAATTTTGTCTGAATCTTCTGAAATCTGGATTTACCGGGTCCGAATCTTCTAGGGTTCACTGTACTGAAATTAAAAATGATCTTGGTTATTACCAGTGAAACTCCGCTTGCACTGTCAGGAGAAGTTGCCTCATTTAAGCATCCTTCCAAAAGCGTGAAAATATTGAAATCCATTAATCCTGTTCATAAATTTGCTCATAAATATGCTAGTTTACACATGTACAGTACAGTATCTGATTACAAATCCATGTTGTGGTTAAAAATTTTTAGGGGAGTAGCATGACATGGTATTGACCGAGTTACATGTATTTTACCAGCACAATACAGAACAGGTAACTCACATTTGATTTAAGCGTATTTGGAATAACGTGATTGTTCATTTAATACCAAAAGGTAATCTACCTGCACCTAATTTTGAAATAACGCGCTCATGACAGTTTAAATTTGCCACGCATATTTACCTGGTCGCCTGGCAGTGGAGAGTCGCATGTGATGCCTGTTGAGGTGCTTGTAAGTTATGACTATAAAGTATGTAATATCAACATCAACGATTTTAATATTATTAATAATAAAAATAATTATTATAATAATGTAATAATAAAGATTATTACTACTAATGGTGAAGATAATAATGATTAAGTATTCTGTACAACAACTGTGAAGTCGTCCAGCAAGCTTCCCACGTATCACTTTCTCAGTTCACACCAGCACTACTTTTTCTCTGTGCTCTCATTTGCATTGTGTGTTTATCATGTACCTTTTTAGTGTTAAACGTTGTTTTCCCCATTGAGCATGTCTGGAAAACGTCCATCTGCCTCCTCTGGGGCTCCTAAAGCTAAAAAGGCACGAAAAACAATCGCAATGGACGTGAAATTAAATGTGATCACCCGCCTTCAGAGAGGAGAGAGTGTGTCGGAGGTTGGCCGCGTGCTTGGTTTAAGTGAGAGCACTGTTGGTACCCTGTGTGGTATATGATGGTTCCCCTAACCTGTACCATTTACAGGTATTCTTATGGGAAAATTACCGGTATGTTTAATTTACGTGTTTTTTAATTAAGCGGTGATTTTCTATAACATAACCCCTGCGTAAAACGAGAGGTGGGTGTACTGTACTATCAAAATGGGGTCTTAGCTTGGCTAGGAATGTACAGTAACTTCCTTTTATGATACAAATCTGTACTTGTTTTTGCTAGTCTTTTCCTAGATCCTAAAAATAATCACCTGACAGCTTTATCAGTTATCCTTAATCAAGTTGCCTTACGGTTTACCTTGGTTGTTTACTTGCGCTGTCTTGACACACAGGAAACTGTATACAGCTCCTCCCCGACTTACGACGGGGTTAGGGACCCAAATCCAGGTCGTAAGTCGAAAATGCTTAAATAATGCATAATAAATCTAAAATGGGTGTCTCTTTTTCTTCTCAGCACCACAAAACTCTCACTTTTAAGCTTGCCAGCCATTTTAAAGTGAATTACAAACGAAAATTTTGTCAGTACACAGCGCAATCACTGACGTTGGGACTCGAAAATACGTAATTTGACAAAATTTTGGTACGACTGAGGCGGTCATATGTCCAGGTGGTCATAGGTCGAGTAGGTCTTAAGTCGGGGAGTAGCTGTACTGAAAAAAAAATTATTATTATTATTAATTAATTAATTAGAATTCACATAAATGAGGGTAATGTTTTATTAAAGAATGATAGCTTCATTTTGTGCCCCCTTCACTATTACAGTATTTGTAAAGGATATCCCTTACCCTTTTAGTACAGTGGTCCCTCGGTTAACGAGTTACCTTCCATAAGCTTCTTAACTTCGGTTAACGAGCAATCCCTCGATTAACGAGTTTCTTACGAGCCGACCTCAACATGTTTTTGCTTGCATTTGGCGGTCCACCAGCTGTAGTATTAGTCCGCCAATACAGTAATCGGTTCTAGGGCTTATATGCCTTACCATTTTAGTAAATATCAAGAAGTTTACAGTATTCAATAATTTTAAAAGTTTATACAGTCAACCCTCACTTTACGCGGTTAATTCAACCCACAGGGTACCGCGGAAAGTGAGAAACGCGTAAAGTGAACAACATAACATATGGGATTAATTGAAATAGAGACCGGGCCGACCCCCCAAACTCCACTTTTTGACGACACACAACTATGTTGTAGTAAAAATATTATCTTAATTTTATGATGGTATTCACACACAATTAATAATTAAGAGAAATATCAATAATATTAGGTTTTTTAACACTTACATTAGTAGAAAAGATGGCTGGGCACACGGGGATGGGGGGTTGGTTCCGAGGCAGATGGCAGATTATTGGCCCTCACCTGTATCACTTGTATTAATTGTATCACCATCCACCACAGAGGCTTGCAGGGCCTCTTTGTCAAACCCCTCAAAGTCCATATCCTCACTATAATTGTCACTATCACTGACTTGGGCCGGCTGTGGTGGGTGAAGAACTCAGTAATGTTTTGATGACTGGGCGACCTTGTGCGCACCCTGCTCGCGCCGCTTTCACAACATGGCGGATGGCGGGAGGTTTGGATCCAAAAATGGCGCGGCTCGCCAGCTGCTCTCCGCGTAAAGGGGTACACGCACCGCGGAATGTGAGCATTCCGGTTTCGGCAGGGTACCGCGTAAACGTGGAAACGCGGAATGTGGGACCGCGTAAAGCGAGGGTTGACTGTATTAATTTTTTTAGTAATTTTAACAGTTATTGAACATAATTGAAGGTAAAGAAACTAGTTTCTGGCACGCCATCCAGCCTGGCAACACACGAAACAGGCATTAGTCTCTCTCTCTTTTTAGTGGAGGTAACATCTTGCTTGAGACTCTTCAACTAAATGCTTTTTTTCTGTGTTTCCAAGCAAATTATTGGTCATTTTGAAATTTATTTTACATATGCGGTGAAATGGCGCCATGGGGTGACTTCTCTTCCACCCCAATGCCTTCTCTTCTCCCTTCTCCTCCACCCACATTCTAATTCCCATCATCATCATCATCATCCAGGAGCCTTCTACATACACACCTCAAAGTAAGTGTACTTTTCTACCCTTTTTGTTGAATTTAGGCAATTTTCGGTGAGCTGGAACCAATTACCCAAAAACCCATTGAAACAATGGTTTCGGTTAATGAGTTTTTCGGTTAACGAGCAACCTTCTAGAACGGATTGTGCTCGTTAACCAAGGGACGACTGTACTAATTTTCAACCTTTCATTTTAAAATTAAATGAAAATTTGGATTATCTTAATGTAGTTATTTCAGCTTCCCAAGATGTTCTCTTTATTTATATTGATGTGTTTGATATATTCCTTCAGTTAAACGGTTCATTGACGAGGATCATCTGCCACACCTGCTCTTCTATGGTCCACCAGGCACAGGCAAGACCTCCACTATCCTGGCATGTGCCCGTAAACTTTACTCTCCCAAGGAGTTTAATTCTATGGTACGTTTGACTTTAAAAAATTTGTTATGAATTTGGCAGTTCAGTAACTGTTGATTTATTTTTATTTTATTTTTTTTGTGTGTGTGTGAAATTTAGTGACATGAGTTAACCTTCGTAAAAACTAGTGAAACTGTCAAGGAGTTTATGATTGTGAAGCGACAGTATTGTTGTGTAGATTCAAGTTTTGTGTGTGTGTGTGTATGTTTGTTACATTACAAAGACCTCCCAAATCTGGTGTGATTTTTATTTTATTTGTTTATTTTTTTTTTACGGGGAATAGCCCTCCCGAACACAGGTCATCGACCCACATCGGCACCTAGGGGGCGAAAAAATCAGAATAAAAAGAAATTAAAAATAGAAAAGAAAAAGGTTATACTGTGTTAATCTACACCACGAAGATACTGGAAAACCAGCTTTTTAAAGTGAGACATCGTATGAGTGTGGAAACACAGAAGAAGGCAAAGCATTCCACAGTTTCGCTGTGTGGGGAAAGAAGGAGGTACTATAACGGGTAATTCTTAGTGTGACCGACATCCACAGAGAAATGGTGGGCACCGCAGGCAAGACGTGTGTTACGAACCCACGGCCTTGCCAACGGTACACAGGATGCCAACCCACTGAACATTGCTTGTTAAAGTACCTGTAAAAGAGAGAGAGTGAAGCAACATTGCAGCAAAGAGAAAGGGAAGAAAGATTGTCAACTAAAGGAGGAGAGTCAAGAAGACGAAATGCCTTTGATTCCACCCTATCTATTATTTGGACAGCAGAAGAGCCACCCCAGATATGAGAGCAGTACTCCAAGTTAGGACGAATGAATCCCTTGTATACTTGAAACAACTGCTCAGGAGTGAAGTAGTTACAGCATCTGTAAAGCATTCCCAGCTTTTGGGAGGCAGCTTTAGCAATGTTGAGGATGTGTGGCTTCCATGACATATTAAAGGAAATGGTAAGGTCTAGCATATCTCTTTTTAGAATTTGGCAAAATGATAACATCCTGAAATGTGATTGGTGGGAGATATCTAATTTGGAAAGTGTAATTAGTAAATACTGAGTTTTATTACTATTGAATTTAACCAAGTTTCTACCTCCTCATTTGGAGATGCTGCACCGATCCACATTGATGGATGTAATGATATCAGATCTAGTTTGAGAATTGGGGGGAAGGGGAAAATGTGATGAAGAGTGAAGAGTAGAGTCATCAGCGTAAGAAGGAAGAGAGTAGGTGAAAGAACAGAACCCCTTGGGACACCACTGTTGGTAGAGAAAGAGCGAGAGATCGATCCCTCGACAACAACTGCCATGGATCAGTTCTCAAGGAAGCTAGACTTTAGAGAACAAAGTGGGTTAGAGAAACCATAAGAGGGAAGTTTAGGAAGCAAAGACTTGTGCCATACCCTGCCAAATGCTTTGGAGATGTTGAGGGCCACGACGAAAGTTTCCCCATAATCCCTGAGAGGATGACCAAAGATGGGTGCAGTAGGAGAGTAGATCTCGGCCTGGCGAAAGCCATACTGGTGATCCGACAAAAGAGAATGGTGTTCAAGGGATGAAGATAGGAAAATGGGGTGATAGTTAGAGGGATTGGAATGGTCACCCTTCTTTGGGATGGGCTTGACCGAGGCATGCTTCCAAGAAGAAGGAAAAGTTTGGGTTTTGAGGCAGAGGCTAGCAAGCACAGGGGCCAGAACTTCAGCACACTCCATCAGAACACGAGGTCCATGCACCTTACTCACATCCAACCTGGTTAACACGCCAGCAACCCTATGAGTGGAGATATAGGAAAGTGCATAGGTTCAATGGGAGGAGCAGAGGTAGGAGGTATTGAGTTTGAATCATTTAAGGTGGAGTTAGAGGAGAATAAGGTGCCAAAGAGATTGGCTTTGTCAGGGGGAGAGTTGGCTATAGAGTTATCAGGTCGGAAGAGAGGAGGAAAAGAGGGAGTGCAGAAGTTATTACAGATGTTTTTGGTTAAGGACCAGAGGAAGAATTATTCAGGACATCGGTCTTTCTTTTTATAAAATTCCGCTTGGCCCTACGAAAAATAGCCTTACAACAATTCCTAGAAATAATGAAAGAGGATTGGGTAATGGGAGGAGATAGTTTCATGGCTTGATATGCCCTATCTCTCTCCCTGCATGCAAGAGAGCAGGCGTGATCAAACCATGATTGTAAAGTGAAAGTTTTGGTAGAAGATGGGATAAATGCACTCATACCACCCTGTATAACCCCAGCAATGCTGTCGGCACCTACCGAGGCGTCCCAAGTGGAAAAGCAACATTCATTCCAAGGAAAGTCGGTGAAGAATTCTCGCAAGGATTGCCAGTTTGCCCTCCAATAGTGCCATAGTTGGCGTTTAGAGGGGATAGGGGAGGTGGCCGTGCCCAGTTTGATTTAATAGAAATAAGATTGTGATCAGAAGACCCTAAGGGGGCAGAAATTGAGTATGAATAGTGTGAGGGGTTAGAGGTAAAACAAGATCAAGAATGTTAGCAAGTTTATCGTGTCGATCAGGAACGCATGTCGAGTGTTTGATTATTTGTTCCAAATCATTGAGTAAGGAAAAAGAGAGTGGCTCAGCTCCACCTGGGTCATCCCTTGCAGAGCCAAGCCACTCTCTGTGATGTACATTGAAATCCCCTAGGTAGAGGATCTCCTTGTTTGGGTGTGTGGATAGTAACGACTCATGGCAAGAAGTGAGATACTCAAAGAGTTCCAAATAGTTGATAGAGTTGGGAGAACTGTATAGGAAACAAAGAAAAATAGTCATAGTTGGTTAGAGATATTTTGAGCCAGATGACATCATAAAGGGAAGATTCAAGATCCATGAGTCGAGCTATAGGCGTACGTGTGTTGCAGTAGGCATGTACTGTACACCTCCCTTAGAACTGAAGGAGATATAAAGGTTGTAGTTGGAGGCTTGAAAAGGTTTTGGTGAAGCTGCTTTGGTCAATTGAAGTTAGCAACCGCAGTGGCGTCAGTTGAGGCCCCGGAAGTTTGATGATGATCAGGTCAGCCCTGGGGTCCACAACCTTCCAGACCAGTGAGACCCATCCGAGAAGGCCCGCTTTAATATTAATATCAACTGACATAGGAGAATAAAATAGAATGATTAGAACAGATCAAGAGTGAGTATGTTTATATTTGTTGTGTTGTCAATAGCAAGAGACAATTGAGACCCTGCAGAATGACAGATCAGCAACCTGGGACTTGGTCACAATTTTTGTGATGCCATATGGTAGCAAGGTTTACCATCAGACAATACATTATGCTTCTAATATCTTCCCAGGTGGTAGTTCCTCCCTGTTTGGTAGCTGCCTACTACCTACTACTCTTTTAATAATTTAATCAAATCTTCACTTTGTTTAGTATATACTGGATTAACAGTACAGTATTAGTGAAGTACAAGGGCCCCAAAATTCGCATGGGTTAGGTTCTCAAAATGGCCACGAATCGCCAAATCCATTAATAATATTTGCTGACGGGGGGGAGGGGCTTCATTTTTACTTGTGTACAAGGAAATGTATATTCCCTTTACAGGTATATGTTTGCCCTTAGAACAATTATTTCTTTTACCTGTAGTATTGTATATGTGTGTGTATAGACACACACAAAACACATACAAATAAATAAATAATAAATTTGTTTCTGATTATTTGTGAGAGGATTTTTCCATTATTATTTATTAGTATTTGTTTTGTGTGTGTGTGTGTGTGTGTGTCTATACACACAGTGTACTTGGTCTAGGTTGAGATAATTATTTTCAAAATAACTTTAGAGTTGTATAAATATCTGAACATATTGGTAATTCTGTGATGTAAATTGTTCCTTAGTGTCTATATTTCTCACATTTTTAAAATGATTCATAATAGTTCTCCTTCATGTTGATGTAATGTGAGATGTCTGGTGAAAACACAGATTTTTGTAGCGAGTTGTCAAAGGTGGTGAGATGTGGCGTGCAGGGATTGCTCTGCTTGTCTTCTAATTTGACAATGGTGATTATGATAAACGTTTGCCTAGTGAAAATTTGGGGTAATTCAAATACAATAATTAGTGAGTAGATTTACTTATTACAAACACAAAATAAAATATAACCAATCATGATCATAATAACCCATCTTTATAATCAAAACATTCCAAGTGTGGGACATCAAAGTTAATTGGGAAATCGACTTCTTTTTTTTCCCCCATAGATTAAAAGGTCTGGTGAGAAAATTGATTCAATGTAGATAATTTAATTTTGAGACATTATGACTACGGGTATTCATACAAGTCCCAATTCTTGTATTATAGCCCCAAACAAAATTTAAACTTTAGTTGACTACTATTAGGTCCATGAAAGGGGTTAGGTAAGTGTTCATTTTATGTGATTCTGGCTAATGCAAACTTTGATATAAAAGTGAAAAAATAGCACCATTTATACTGCTCTTGCAAGAAATCTTTGTCCAGTTAGTTCATGCATGGTTCATTTTCAGGTGTTGGAACTGAATGCATCAGATGACCGTGGCATTGGTGTAGTGCGGCAACAAATACTTAACTTTGCCAGTACACGTACTATATTCAAGTCCGGATTCAAGCTTGTCATCCTAGATGAGGCTGATGCCATGACCAATGATGCCCAAAATGCATTAAGGAGAGGTAAGAAACTGGTTCTTGACTTTCTTTCAAATTACAGTATACAGTGAACCCTCACTTTACGCGGTCAATTGAACCCATGGAGGCCCGCGTAAAGCGAGAAACGCGTAAAGTGAACAACATAACATATGGGATTAAATGAAATAGAGACCGGCTGACCCCCAAACTCCACTTTTTCCGACACAATACCTATGTTGTAGTAAAAATAACATCTTAATTTTATGATGGTACATGCACACAATTAATACTTAAAAGAAATAGAGAAATACAGTTGCCAAGTTAATGTCCATTCAAATAATGGACTCAACTCCCTCCCCCTCTTCTCACACTCCTGGCTCTTCCCTCTCTGAGAAATGTTTGGGGGAAAACCACTAGATTTTAAGGTATAGTAATAAATAATACCTCAAACTAAAGTTAGGATAATATAATTGACATTGCTGGATTCCTTGCAAGACCAGGAATATTTTGAATATACACTTCATATATTTTGCACAAAAGATAACATATTTGCTCTGGGTAAACAAAATACTTGCATTAGATCTAAAATTTGTATGTCTAATGCAAAATCTATGATGCTTATATTCAAAATGATCATCAAATTGTAAGAATTCCAGCAATGTAAATTATATTCTGGCCGGATAATCTGTATGAATTTTATGAGCTAAATAAAAAAATTATACTTCACCCGCGTATATGAGTAGATGCACCGCGTAAAGTGGGAATTCCGGTTCTGGCAGGGTACCGTGTAAATGTAGAAACGCGTAAAGTGAAACCGCGTAAAGCGAGGGTTCACTGTAGTCTTGATTTACACGGATTTGGCTTACGCGTTTGGTCATTTACGCGGCACCTTGCCAGAATGAAAATTTTTAACTGCAGTTCATTGCATCATTTACGCGGCGAGAGGTTCAGACGCGCCGTGCCAATTATGATTAACGCGGTTCATTCTTGACCATACGCGGGAAGCGGCGCGGGGAGGGTGCCCAGTATGTCGCTGTTGCGTTATCATTGACGTCATATGACGTATTGGACTGTGATTGGGTCACGCATCCTTACCTCCCTCCGCCGCTAGCTGTGATTGGTCTAATGTAATATGACGTGCCCAGCCCTAAGTTACGAAGTAAAATTCAAATTCGTCCAGGACTTAGAAAAGGGAACTCAACAAGTTGATTTCGCGCGCCAGCATGGAGTTCACAAATCTACGATTCCTACAATCAAGAAGGATGCCGCCAAGATAAAAGAACACATGAGCATCACAAAGTCTGCAGGTGCTTCAATGGTGAAGTATTGTCAGAATAAGGTGCTGCTCAAGACTGAGAATTTACTGGTGAGCTACTTCATTCGTCAGGCAAGACATAACATGGCAGTCGACACGCGGGCAGTGCAGGACTACGCCCGTGAACTCTACGAATCAGTGGAGCACAAGATGGGAATTGCAGAGCCCAAACCCTTCACTGCTTCCTCTGGGTGGCTGCAAGGGTTTAAGAAATGTAACAAGATAACCAACATTAACATTGTTGGTGAAGGAGCCAGTGCTGACCGTGCTGCCGCCATGGATTTTCCTCCATTCTTACGAGACATTATGGAGGAAGGACAGTACACGGACGACCAGGTGTTCAACATGGATGAATTCGGTCTGTTTTGGAAAAAAATGAATTTCCAAGACCTTCGTTGTCAAGTCTGCCAGCAAGTGTCGGGGCCGGGAGTTGCAGAAGGAGCGTATCACCGTCCTGTTTACCACCAATGCCTCCGGCACCTGTAAGCTCAAGTTGTCGGATATCCACACAGCACGCAAGCCGCATGCCTACAACAACATGGACATGACCAAGCTAAATGTCCACTGGCTGACCGCACGTAAGGCGTGGATGTTCACTGGTCTGTCCCTCTCCTGGTTTGACGACTGTTTCGTTCCCGACGTTAAGAAATTCTGCGAGCAACATAATGTTCCATTTAACATTTTGTTGCTCCTTGACAACGCACCAGGACACTCGCCCCTACTGTTGGATCGTCACCCCAGTGTAAAAGTGGTCTTCCTTCCTCCCAACACTACGTTGTTAATTCAGCCCATGGACCAGGAGTTGATATGCAACGTTAAGGCTGCATTCTCCGCAAAGAAGTTTAAGCTCCTGAACGACTACACCAACACCAAGGATGAGTTGCGGAACCTTGTGAGTGGCACAGATAGCGAGAGCGAGGATGAGGATCCAGAAGAAGAGTTGGCGGAGCATGAAGTGCGAGCTAAACAGTTTTGGAATATGTTTAACGTAAAGAAAGCTGTTGATTTCTTGGTGGAGGCATGGGGGCAGCTGTCTGTGGCAACGATTCGTCACGTGTGGCAGCATGTGTTGCAGGGTTTCCCAGGTGGGAGGCAGAGTCAACCTGTGGTTGGAGAGGCTCAGTCTGTTGCAGTGGCAATGGACCTTGCAAGAGAAGCTGCACAGAGTGTTACAGCTGCAGGCTTCTCCGAGACCACCAACGACGACATCATGGAGGTAATCAGGGAACCTGAGGTGACTGCCGACGAGATGTTGGAAGACGATGACGTCAGTGAAGAGACAGGTGGTGCGGCAGCACGAGAACAGAAGTTAACACATGGTGATACAAAGAGTGCCATCGAGTTTGCCGAGAAACTCAAGCTCATCCTTTCCAAAGACCCTCTCAATCACCGATATGAAGTCTCCAATAACCATCTAGACCAAACTATGAAGCCGTATGTCAAGATGTATCACGACCACATCAACACTAGCCGTCAGCGTAACATCATCAACTTCTTCGCCCGCAACCCACAACAGCCAGCCCAAGTCAGTGATAGTGACAGTGATGGTGACTTTGAGGGGTTTGTCAGGGAGCCCTGACATCTGTGGTGGATAGTGATTCACCTGAGGGCCACTAATCTGCCCTCTGCCTCGGAACCAGCCCCCATCCCTGTATGCCGACCCATCTCTTCTACTAACGTAAGTGTTAAACCTTGATTTTTCTTTTACCTGGTACAGTATATTATTCTCTTATTGATATTTCTCTTCTATATTAAGTGTGTGTGCATACCATCATAAAATTAAGAAAATATTTTTACTACAACGTACGAATTGTCGGAAAAAGTGGAGTTTGGGGGCCGGCCCAGTCTCTATTTCAATTAATCCCATATGTTCTGTTATTTCGTTTACGCGTTTCTCGTTTTGTGCAGACCTCCACGGGTTCAATTGACCGCGTAAATGGAGACTATACTGTACATGAATATTATCCTTACTGTGTTTAAATCTCTCTCCCAAAAAAGTTTTCCTGCTGTGTTTTCCTTCTTATCCACAAACTCACTTATTGCTGTTGTTATAATTAATATACAGGTATATGGCTTAATGCCTTGAACTTCATTAGAGTTGATGCCATAGGACACCAGTCAAAACTTCATGGAAAGGATGTTTACATTTGGGACAAACGTCCTACTTTGAAGTTCTGGATATCAGTGTGACAAAATCTAGCCTTTGACAAATATCTCTGTAGCTGCTATTTAAGTTACCAGATAATTGGTAGGCATCTCTGGATTATGCAGTCATGGAAAGTTTCAGGTTTGTTCCTTTATTTCTTACTCTGGAACCAGCTTTAGGTCAGTTAAATAGGGTTAGGTTACTCCTATTGGAGATGCAAGCTGAGCATAGCATTGAGCTTATTTGTACTGGTACCTCCTATCTTTTTCTTTCGGCTGGCTTTTGTCTACCTGATTGCTGGATATCTTGTATGGATATAGCTCCTCCTCACATTGTGGTCTCCTCTTCTTGGGTTGGCCATTGGGTAAATTACAGTAAAGCCTCCGATAACGACAGTTCTACTAATGACGATTCATATTTAAGACTGGTTAATTTAGGACCCATTTCAATTTATGCCATTATTTTCTTTGTATTTACAACGAAATTTGGAAAAAAATACATTTTCATACAAATATTAACTAAATCCAGATATGTATTATACAAAAAAAAGCCTTGCGCACGGAGGCTGCCGGGCTTGTTAATGGTGACGCCAGCATCACTAGCATAAACAGTCGCAGCTGGCAGGCCCTTTGTTTTCACGCATCTGAACAGGAAAAGGAGAAAAATTTTCTCACATTTATTACGGCAATTTTGCATCTCTTTTCAACATGAGCAAGAGAGCAAGTGGTGGTAATAATGGTTCAAAAGCTAATAGAAAGTGCATAAGCTTAGCCGAGAAACTGGAGGTGTTAAAATTATATGAAAAAAGCGAGAGGTCTGTGGATATTATATGGAGCAAACAATGGACATATTTTCTGAAGTTGATCCATTAACAGAACGAAGCATTAAAATTAACAGGGACATGAAAAACGCAAATGACCTCTACATAAAGATGTATAATGAGAAAAGAAAGCAGCTGTGCAAGGTTCTTTCGACATCTTTATTATTCGAAGGCCTAAACCATCAACTTGAGCTACACCTTCAAATTTAGCATCATAAGCAGCTTCAACAACAACTTCAGGTTCACTAACAGTTTCAGCAACAGCTTTATGAAAAGCTACAGCTTCAGCCAGAGTTGAACCTGATGACTTCATCATCTGAGTAAAAACTCGCTGTCCTTATGTTTTAGACTACCACCATTGATGAATGGAATTTTTTTTTTTTACATTTGTAAGTATTATTTAAAACTTATATGAACAGTAAATAAGTGTTGCTTTCATATTCTTATGTAGAGAAATGACGATATGTTTTCACATGTACGCACTTACTGTAGATACGTTGGCGTTCCCAATCGTCTCGCTTTATTTCTTTACCATTAGTGGTTAGCTACTTCTACTGTTCCATTTATTAATATTAAATAACATTACTTAAAACATACATACAGGTATTCATTTTTTTTAATTAAGTTCACTACAGCTACAACCAGGGTCTTATTTTCTTCAGTTTCTTATGTAGAACCATCGTCATTCATGAAAACAATGCCGTCTTGTCTCCTCTTGTGGGTTTTAATATGCTATGTATTATTTATGAATTGCATTGTTCATT